GTTTCTCTAATAGAATTTCCACGTTCAATTTGCAAATTAATAACTAATTTTCGAATTTCAGGCAAAGTTTCTTTTCGTTTAGCATTCATGGCTGCACAGAGATAAAAAAACACAAAATTCCAAAACAAACTGGAGAGAATACTGCAGACGATTGCGATAAATTATTGCCAATTGCTTTTGAGTAAAAATAAAAAACCCCAAAAAATATTTTTATTGCTTACTTCAGACGATTTTTGTTGCATAGTACGTAGTAGTATCTAATGGTGTCCCATCACTTATGTGAACCATTTTTTGCTCCGTTCTAAACAATTGTATTTTTATTAAATTAATATTTTGAGAAAATGCATGTTATGTAATAATTGTTACTAAATTGAAGTATGAAACACACCCACAAAAAATTTTTACATGTTTTTTTTAATTAATTTTATTACAGTGTCCTTTTGTAAAGCACAAGTGCCTATCACTTTTGTGAGACACTGTATTATCAAAGAACTCATATTATCAAGTGCGATTACGATTGCAAACACTACCATATTATAATAATGAGGTAAAAGTTACTTATAGGGTCAAAGTTTACAGTTTTTGAGTAGATCGTCGGACTATCGATATATATCGTAAGTCGGAAAGCATTATAAACATATCAAAACCAAAAAATTAAAAATACAATTTAAATGAAAAATGATGTCTTAAATATAATTCACAATTAAAACAACAATACAAATTTAAAATACGCAAACGATATGTTAAACATTGCATATAAAATACGTTACATTGCAGCTCGTCATCATACATTATTTCGTTTTCCTTTATACACAACGATCCGTATTCGCTCGAAAAACATCAAAGCTCGGTGTCCATGTACACATCCATCTTTTTCCATCTTAAAAATATCAGAGAATTGCACAACCTCGGCATTGCACACTATCTTGGCTCTGCCCATGTACACATCGATCTATTTTCACTTAAAAAAATCCTATAATTGCACAAACTAGGCACCGCGCACAACCTCTGCATTGCGCACTACATTGGCTTTGCCCATGTACACATCGATATATTTTCACTTAAAAAACATCCTAGAATTGCACAAACTAGGCACCACGCACTACAATGGCTTCGCCCATGTACACATCGATCTATTTTCACTTAAAAAAAATCCTGGAATTGCACAAACTAGGCACCGCGCAGAACCTCGGCTTTGCGCACTACATTGGCTTTGCCCATGTACACATCGATCTATTTTCACTTAAAAAAACATCGTAGAATAGCGCAAACTAGGCACCGCGCACAACCTCGGCATTGTGCACTACATTGGCTTTGCCCATGTACACATCGATCTATTTTCACTTAAAAAAACATCCTATAATTGCACAAACTAGGCACCGCGCACAACCTCGGCATTGTGCACTACATTGGCTCTGCCCATGTACACATCGATCTATTTTGACTTAAAAAATCTCCTAAAATTGCACAAACCTGGCACCGCGCACAACTTTGTGCACTACACTGGCTTGCCCATGAAACACATCGATCTATTTTCACTTAAAAAAAAATCTCCTAGAATTGCACAAACTAGGCACCGCGCACAACCTCGGCGTTGCGCACTACATTGGCTCTGGCCATGTACACATTGATCTATTTCCTTTTGAAAAAACATCCTAGAATTGCACAAACTAGGCACTGCGCACTACATTGGCTCTGCCCATGTACACATCGATCTATTTTCACTTAAAAAAATATCCTGGAATTGCACAAGCTAGGCACCGCGCACAACCTCTGCATTGGCTTTGTCCATGTATATAGCGATCTCTTTTCACTTAAAAATCAGAAATTGAATAAACTCTGCATTGCTCATATACTAAGAAATCTGCTTTCACTTAAAAGAAATCAGGAGAAATTGCAGAAACTTCGCGCATAAGCAACTCCATTGATTCGCGTTGAAAAAAAAAAAAAAAAAAAAAAAGTTTCTAGAAAAATTGAGCTTACTACAGACGAACCAAGATCCTAGTCTAATTGATTTCTCAGCCCTACACTTCTTGCATCTCTAAATACTACCTTTCGATGACTTTTTCTGACTATCTAACCAGCATGGTATCTTACATTTTTCACAAGAAACGTTATCCTTTAATAATCGACAATCCATCAAAAATCCTCTAAAAAGTTCATACTCTCTTGTTAATTCATACATAAAGTATCGGTTCCCAAAATTTTACACTTGTTTGAAAACTCCCACCTTAAATTTTCCTTTATAATCTCCTGGTACTTAATTACAACATCACTAACAGCAGTTTTAGAAGCAAGCAATAACTAAACGCAAAAAATATCACCTCAGTAGCCAAATATAATATATATAATACAAAATAGTATTCACGGTATCTGAGCGTTAAACAATCGCCAATAACAGTGTTACGAATTATGTATTTAGATATTAATTTTAGTAGAATTCTAATTTAAAATGTTTTGTATTTCCTTCCTGCAACGCAGCGTGAGACAAATTTTAAGAGACAAATCTATAACCGGAAAAAGTAAGAATACAGGGCACGTGCATTAAACTTTGACCAAACGGATATGTCGGTAATTTGTATTGAAATTGAAATTGAATAAATGTAACTGACCACTAAATTAGCTGTAACCGTAATTCCATCCTCTTGTTTACATTGCGTTTGGCGAATAGTATGGGTTACCAGATCAATATCATTTATCGCCGCTCTTGGCGATATTTTTTTGTTATTTATTTAAATTCCCGGGTGGGCTATACTAAAGCTGTGCCAATGTGGACAAATACCAAAACTTGAAAAACAATAGTTTATATATTATATATATATATATTCATAAACTATAACTACACATTTAACAGATAAATCTGATCCCACCCCTGAAACAATGAAATTTCTCCTGGTTTTTAGAAACTGGATCTGAACCATTAAAAAAAAGTAGGATTTTTAAAGAACACTTTCATTCTTTACAAATTACGGAAAGAAGAAATTTAAATTAAAAATGCATCTGCAAAAATTGCAGTTTCAGTTGATAATAGGAGAAGCACTTTTAATAACTTGATAGAAGACACAAGAATATATGCACACTTTACCTGTTTGAGTTGTAGACTGCAAAGAAGCATCATAAACAGCAGCATTACAACCTTTAGCAATCATTTCCCCAATTTTTAAATCAGCCAAAGTAAACTGTTTTTTAGATTCATAAACTTGAAGAATACTTTCTCCTGCCATTCTGGTAGGTACTTTTGAGAATGCATTCTAGGGAAAAAAACATTTTTTTAGATAACATGAAGCTTAAAATTTGTAAGACAAGACCATAAGTTGTTGTTGCTATTTTACATTTTTTAATTGTTTAGTTGGCACTTGCATGTTAGCACAACTACCTTGGAGCAATCTGATGACTTTTTATACAAGAAAATGAATATTTACTATATGCAGTACAAAACTCTGCAGTATAAAATCTGGATGTCTAATATCCAGAATGATCTAATATCTACACCTCATGACCAGCAGCACTTTTTTTTTTTTTTTTTTTTTGCAAAAGGGAGAAAGACTCTGAGAGTAGCATACGCTCAATGCTTCATGCATGTGCAGTAAACATTTTTCATAATAAAGCATGTAGACTGTCCTGATTATTAATTTCACTTCTGCACTAAACAGAACGCCTCCATGTTGCAAGTATGATCAATAAATTCGCTCACAGCCACCTTACTGTTTGACATAAATCTCAAACCAAAACTTTAATCAAAGTTGATTGCCGATTTTATACCTAACGAATATCATATAATCTTTACATCTTTTATCATTGATTACATCTCGCATGTTATTACATCAATCACTGTGAACATCCAGGGTACTCCACTTGGCATAATATAAACATACCTTCCAACAGCAGGAAAAATAGTACATACTTGTTAAAATTAAGAGAAAATTTTAACTTTGGATATAGCCAATCAGATTCTTGGAGATTTTAATGCAAAGCACTTTTTACGGGAGGTAGATGTGGTTGACGGCAGGGGCACATTTATTTTATACAACGGTATTTTTTGGTTTGGGTTATGTGATTATAACAAAGCCCTGAGGGCTATATGCCTAAGGGAAGGGATGCCTTTGTGGAAGACTTTCTAAGAAAAATTGGCTTGTATACACGTTGCACATGAGGAAAACCATGAAAACACCCATGCAGCCAGCCCATTAGCGGGATTCGAACCTCGGACTGAACTACCAATGTTCAGCGACTTTACCACTCGGCTGTTAGCGGTGACTCGTTATACTTTCATGAACAAGGATATAAATTCACTGTCATTGTTTTATTTTTCCTTGCATTTTGAAACAAAAAAATTAGGATTTGGGACTTGCTTTCCACAGAACAGCAACCAACAGATTCAGAGTTATGGTATTTTACCATAAATAAAAAGTATATATTAATGTACATCATATGGATTGCTGAATATGGCCGACAAAAAGCTAAATACTTTGAAACAATTACCCTTGGAAGTTTGCACTCGCAACAATCTAAACAGAGCTTCTGGTAAATTCGGCCTAACCTAATTGGCCTAACCTAATTGGAGAAATCCTTTTTATGGAACAAGTCAAATACTGATAGTTTACTAAAGGAAGAGGCTTTATTTATCCCATATTGGACATATAAAGTGAATATTTCATACAAGCAATAAAGGGAAAATAATTGATCTGTTCTAATAAAAAAATTTCGGCCGTCATTATAACTCTGCTTAACACTAAAATATAAATGCAAAGAATAAAATACTATGCTTAGATGTTTTTCTCTTATTTCAATTAAGGTACTTTCTGTTACCGGGACCCGACTCATCATCAAATGTTTTGCTAAACTCGCCAAGAGGTACATATGAAGTAATGAGATTGCTTTAACAGACTGATGCTGTGCAAAGTAACTTTCACCGGTTCGCCAGTTTGCTTTACCGGAATAATGCTCTGTAAAGTGAATTCCATTTGAATTTTTATCATAGATTTGAGACTTACCTAATAATGAAATATTTTCAATATAATTTCTGTAAGAACATTAAATTACTCCCTGTGAAAGAAAGTATACGAAAACCATGAAATGAAGCTCTACATCAATTCCACGGAAGCACGGAAACGTGCGTGTGTGTGTGTGTGGGGGGGGGGAATTATGCTCTGAAAATTGGTTCGAGGGATAGAAAATCAGTTTCTTAAATCGGCACTCCCCTTAAGCATGGTGTTTAGAATTAACACAAAATATATCCATATCTGAAGTGAACATAACAAGAACTAAAAATTAAAAAGTTCAATCGAAATTTAACCATTCATCATTTTGCACGGAACTCTTCAAAATGCACTGAAGTGAGGTTACATTAAAACTAATATGAAGAAATCAGAGATGTATCCTACGAAAATCAAACAAAACCCCAAAATTAGTGGTTAAAACTTGCAGCTAATTCAAAAGAATGACTTGCAATAAAAGTTAACAATGAAACTGTTTGAAGAGTCATTAGGGCTTATGGACACAATGGGTGATCAGCAAGAAGAAAATTCTTGGCCTACAGACAATGCAAATACATCTGGCACTTCCAAAATCCATAGGAAGCAAAAATTTACTGGAACATTTCTTTTGTACATTTGTTACATATTTTGGCATGCATTTTAATTGTAAAGACACAAATAAGCTAAATGCACATACAAATGGTTTAGTCCACAGATGGTACTATTTGTGTCGCAGCATGTGTTTGGTTTCTCTATACCAAAAAGTATGGCTTGTGCATAATGGAAAAGTACTAATTCATCTCATTGAAATAATGTTATATTTGCAAATAAGTCAAAATTTAATAGAGTTGTGTCTAATGCACGAACTGCTGCGAGATGAAAGACAAATGGAAGAAATAGAAGACTACTGTTAAGCATGAAGGTGGTTGGGTATGTTTCACTGCCTCTGGGAAAGGAATTTTATTTTTTATAGAATATGGATTTGTATAAACACATAAATGTTTTTAATAAAAACCTGAAAGCATCTGCAAGAAAATTTAGAATGCAAAATATATTCAAATTCTATCACAAGAAAGTTCCTCAACATACAAATTCTATATGTTCATTTGTGGTTGTTATACAACTGTCCTGAAGTTACCAAAACTCATCCACATTCTTAGAGTTGAATCCTATTGAACATGTATGGGGTGAGTTGGAGAAAAGAATAAGCAAATATGATACTTATTCTAAAGCTCTATCAAAAGCAATTCTGACAAAGATATGAAACAGTCTTACTCAAAAAAATTAACTAAATCAATGCAAAGTACATGGAAAGTGTAATTATTACTAAAGGATATCTAATGAAGTACTGTATGTCCTACTATTTTATGTTATTATTAAACATAAGCTGCTTGTGCAAATAGTCATGTTGGTTAATTTTCAGAACTTTTTAAATGAACTCAAAAGTTTTGAATAACTTTTTCAAAAACAAGCAGGTTTTAGAAAAGATGATATAGGAAAGAAAAGTCATTTCTCATTGAAAATATCAGTCACTTAGTAACTGGTATTTTCAAATAAACTAAAAAGCACAACTTTGGAAACAAATGTGAGTCACTATATAAAACAAGACATAGACTTATATACAAAAATAATTTTAGAATACAAACTTTAAAGGTAAGAAATCTCACTGAATCAAATACATTAATAATAATTAAATAGTCATTATTAAAAAAGAACTATTTCTGCATGCACACACTTAGATTGTTATTTTACAATGCTATTAATCATAATTATCAAATAACATGTCTCTATTATTTATTACAAGTATTGCAAAAGCATTTACTCGTATTTCATAGGAAACTCCTTCTAATTCTTCTTCATTAGTTAATAATGACGGTTTCTTTGCCAACGCAAAACCAACGAAACATACCATAGGGCCACTTCCCCCTTGTAAAATTCTTTTTCGTGATTCTTTGCTTAATGCACCCACTAGGGAATTGGGGACCCATCTCGCAGTTACTTTCTGAATAAAACCCGGCCGATAAGAAAAAAAATTTGATTTGGGGGAAACCGTCAGGACAGGGTTTTCCGAAAAATATTCTACAGGTAACCTATGCTGATAACGATAGTTATTGGGTGAGCATTCATTCCCTTTCCTCCAAAGACCTCGAAGGAACTGGCGAGACTTTCCAAGGGCATTTTCAATTAGAGTTTGGATAGACGATTTTGCGGCATTATCAGATACTAAATGAGTTCGAATAGGATGAAAAGACTTTGCAAAGAAATTCATCGCTCCCACAAAGCTTCATCCAAAATCCATCATGAGATAATTCCGAATCGCGCTCGTAATCAAATGCGCACTTAAGACGTGCCAATACGAAAACAATTTAGCATACTTAACGACGGTTATCGAGTTAACTGTTAACATCTGACAGACAGACAGACAGACAAAATAGACAGATGTCTTGTTTTGCACCCGCTAAGTCTTTCTGCACCGATGGGCGAAAAATCAAGCATAGGTGCGAAGGAAAGGTATATAGAAAGGGGGGCAATTTCGTATTTGAGGAGAGTAAAAAGAAACTCGTACATTTTTACGAGTTCAAAAGGCCAGAAAGAAAAGATGGGACAAAATAAAATTTAAAATAAATGGCCCAAAAATAATATAGGAAAAAAAAAAAAAAAAAAAAAAAAAAAAGAAAAAAAAAAAAAAGAAAGAAAGAAGGCCTAAAAGAAAGAAAAGGAAAAGAAGTAGAAAATATCCCTAAAATACGATTGTCCATGTGTCCATGAGTGTAGTTAAGGAGTTCATCTGCAAAAATTAGTTGTGTCTTTAAGAAGCAAACTTTAGCTAAGTTAAAAAAAAAAAATAATAAATGAATGAATTCCTACATGGTAATGTGTATGCCGTAATCTTGAGACCTAACTAGAAAAGACATATATCATCACAGAGATGTACATAATATTTTAACTAAAGTAACATTAACTATTACCGTTCCCAAAAAATTCATGTATATTTCAGAAAAACAGTAATTGACAAAATCATAAATCCATACACAGTGTGAGAGCATATCAACAAAAATAAATTATACAGTTTATTTTTCTTAAATATTAGTTAAATATAAAATTAATTTATTAATTTAACAGTTGTAATTTATTATAGTACAAGTTTAACAAATTCCGTCACCCTGTATTTATATTTGATCATAATTCCAAGTTTGATACCTGAAAAAAAAAAAAAAGGTCGGGGATCTTAGTTACAAAAATCACAATCTATACTCATCGATGGTCAAGAGATCCCCATTTTTTCCTCTCTCAAGAAATTCCTAAGCACGAAGAGGGGGGCCTCCGAAGGGTGTGAATTGCTGATAAGAACGGAGTACTGATAAGGAATGTGGCGTCTCTACCGAATAGTTACGAAGAAAAAGAACCACATGACTTGCTACTATTACTAACTATTGTATAATGCTAGAATCTTATGAAAAATAATAAATAAAGAAAAAATTGCACTCTAGTGATAGAGAAACATATATTGTATAAAGAACAGAATGTTACTTATCTGAATATTCCGTGTCAGGGCCTCTTTTGGATTTCTCGTGTTGATAGTAAGCAGCTAACAAAACATCTGAAGTTTCGAAGAAGAAGCGAAGTTTCCTTTTTCAATTTGATGAATGAGACATTGCATAGGAAAGGTGAATTAAACTTTTTTAGAGAGTTGAAAATATTTACTGAAACAGTTATTTAAAAAATTTCGGAGCTATGTTTAGACACTGCCTACAGCTTTCGTGATCGCAGCGCCCTCCCGAATACGAATCACTGTTAACATCTTTGGAACAGGGATCAGAGATCAGAGGTCATTGAAAATCAGCTTTTCCCTAAGTTTTGAGAATCTTAATTACATATATACAAAAAAAAAAAAAAAAAAAAAGAAAAAGAAAAAGAAAAAGAGGTATTTAAATGAAATTTTTAAAAAAGCATATGACTACAAAGAACTTTGAGTTTAAATCTCTGTCCAATAGGTAAAATCTAAAAGTTGAATGACTAGTATTTGAGAAAAATTGGTTGAAATCCAGTTCCAATAAATTTTCTTAATATTAATTATGCTAAAATCTGTATGTTTCAATTGTATTTTCATTTTTAGCAGTAAAAAAATTCATTTTTTATATGCTTTTCATATAATTTCATAGTTGTAACATATTCTTTCCTATATTCAAAATGAAAATTTTTCTACTGTGTTTTGCCTGTCAGCGGTAAAACAAAGAAACAAAAAACAGGAAAGTTTGTAAACACCGGTACTATGCCTTTCGTTCATTTTTTAGGCAAACGAGCTGGTTGCATAAGCCGTTTCGTGCTCTTTTCTATGTGTCACAAGGATGCAAGCCAGTTTCCCTCAAAAAATTCACCAAGAAGCATTCCTCCACATTAGCCATGTAAGCTTTGCCATTATAAAATAAACCAAATCAAAACAAACTTCCATTTTATTTTACTCTTTCCAAATAGTGTCTAAACCAAGAAGACAGTTTTATAAAATTTATCTCTCTAAAAGGATTTCTTACAGGTTTAATTAGAGACTTGCTACTTTTCAGGTCTCAGGAAACTATTTTAATCTTAAGCAGTAAGTAGTTAAGTGTTTTGGTTTAAAAAAAAAAAAAAAAATCTGAAATTTTTCAGATTTTAAATTACGTCCAAAGGGGCGCTTTTTTAACGTTTTGAGTGTTACCTTTATTTATTAAATATCATGTTCTTTGCACTTAAACCATAAAATTCAATTCAAGAGCAATATCGTAAAATAATGTTAAATTAAGCATATCTTTAGAATTTCCGATATACACAGTCTCGCGAGCTGGAGATAAAAGTATTTTTTTTTCTATATAACGTTGCCATTTCTCGCTTTTAAAGCATTGAGTTTGTAAATCAAAAAAATCTTTAAAGTTTTACAAAATATAAAATCTATAATAAAACAAATTCCAAATTTGGGATTTCAGATGCCCATATTCGCAGTAGGATTTCGTCATTCAAAATTCGATGGCTTCTATGTACCATTGTTTTATCACAATGCGAGAAATAGACAATCATTTATGCAGATTTTTCATTATTTAATTTCTTCAAAAATGCAGGACAACAACATTTGTGAAAAGTGAAGTTTTGTATGAGTCCGGCGCAAAATGCCAAAACGAAAGCAATAGTCCTTCGGGACTGAAATCCCTTTGGACTAAAAAAAAGATGTATTCTGTCTATATTTTGAATGCACTTTATGGGTACAAGACGTTTTAGCAAATTTACCTCATCCTGGGATTTTTTGATGATCCTAGGCGCTTTAATTTTCAACATAAGATTAACATTTATAGTGTATGAGTGCGTAACTGAAAGAAAGTTTCTCATTTACAGATGAATTTGTTTTCAATTATATCGATAACCAGATTGGTATTATTTTGAAGGACATTTGCTCCAAGCCATCGTCTATTGTTACTGCAGTATCTGACAGGACGAAAGCTAATTATCTTCATCGAGTGCAATGGTTTAATAATTAGGTCCGGCATTAACATTTTTAGCACCCTAGGCTTTCTGCTTAGCTATCACACGATAAAAATTGAACATATTAATGAATCCAAACGAAAAATTTGAATTTCGCTTGTTAGAACAGTTCAGTTGGTCCCTCCAAAAACCGGGACTCTAGGCGGCTATCCATGTGAGATATAATTAGACTGTATAATGTGTGTTTATTCACTGTGTATAATGTGAGGTTTTGGGGTGATGATCTTAATTTATTTCTATTATGAATTCTTGCTAATGCCTAGCTACTTAAGAAGAATCCAATTTGTTCTGAGTTATATCCTTCTTACTGAGTTACACAATTTATTTCTCTTAAAGGTTTGTTAAACATACCTTAAAATTCGACTCTAGTGTTCTTTGCTCATGTTTTATGGAGTATCTACCATCCATATAACCATGTATCATTGTACCATCCATATAACCATTGTAACCATTGTATCCATATAACCATTGTATCATTGTACCATCCATATAACCATTGTACCATCCATATCTACCATTGTATATAATTCATTCATTCATTCATCTACCATCAAGTTCATTAAAACTGTCACTTGAGGGATTAATTGCACAATATTTTACTATTTGTAATAGGAATATTTAGTACTCCAATTATGTAAAAGCACTATATTTACTACTGCTGAAACTCTCACCGATGAAACTTGCCAAACGATTCACATAATGTGATTCGCTCGTGGTCGCCTCGAAATCAGAGCTTTTATAGAACTCGTAATGCACGAATGAATTGTGTGTTATATATTAGTTGTATTGTATGTTGCTGTTATAATTAGTTAGTACTGTGTGTGTAGTGATTTCAAAATATGTTATTCTAGAAATGCCTTAAATTGTCTTCGGTTAACATAATAATTCCGGTTTCTTTTGCATTAGAAGAAGAAAGAAGATCTGAAAAGGCAAGATTTTTGCCTTTGTGCCTGACATTTTGAGCAAGTGGCACGTGAGTGAATTAACTTAAGGTAACCCACCTCGTTCAAAAGGCCGATTTCGACTGAAAAACTCATTTTTTTAAATTTAATATTTTTTAAGGCCATATTCTTAGCTATCGAAAACAGATTTTCTCTTCTTGATATGCTGATTAGAAGTGGAGATATACCCGTTTTTCTGAGATACAACAGACCGGAAGTAACCGGTCTGCCAACCGGAAGTTAAAGTTTTAAAGGACAAATTAAAGGTACAACTCCACTTTTTTCTGGGTTATATATAAATTAAATAATTTTAAGCCTTTCGATATGTTTGGAGAATCTGGCAAAGTATTTTCATTATGTATTTTCTCTTTTACGTTTGGCAACAACGTTTCAAACTTATTGTTTTGTTTACATTGAGATTTCGGTATTTCGGTTTTGTGTACAAATTTCCTGCACTAATTTATCAGCTAAAGATTCATTTTTCTGCACTTTTTTTATTCTGTTTAGTAATCGAAAGTTAGAGAATGCCAAAATTTATACGTAGTCATTTAAAAAAGCGGAAATTTTACAGCGACTAATACACTTAATATGTGACTGCTGATGCTGGTAGTCACAATGAAACTGAAACATCTGTCTATGAACTTATGTGGAACATTTATTGCAAATGCATTAGAAAGTGATTGGGATGAATTAAAAGGCAATCATAACGTTGAGGTTTCTATTCTTTTAAATCTTATACTCTCACTTTGTCACATATAATGCAGGAGCATTTTTAGTGAATATTTGTATATATAATGTCATGTAACAATCTGAAAACTTTAAACGCGATTTTTGATTAGTTGTTTTTTTCATGATTTCTGTTCACGGCAACTTTGATAACTCTAAACGTTCATTATAGAATCACTTGAAATTTTACACACA